GTTTTGTGATATTGTTGATGAATGGATGAAGTTAGGAATAGTGAAAGAGGAATATTAATAATGGTATTAATATATATAAAATTGGCATTGGCTATTGATCGCAAGAAACAAATAATATTATTAATTCTAATAACAGCGATCGGCTACAAATTAGTATAACAACATTTAAAAAAAAAGGACCAGCTTTGTTCAGATGACTCACATATAAGTAGACCATGGAAGCTTATCATTTTATTTCAATAATAATAACAAAACTTCAAAAATTCATAGAATTTAAACTTCTTTGGTATCATTTGTGCCTTTTGTAGTAAGTCATAAAAAAGCAGTACTTTATGGGTTTATTCATAGTGATGTTAGCCGATAGAAAAACCTTATCCGGCTAAGAACTTAATATACTCCAGTTGATGAAAATCTTTTTCAGATGGTACTAGGTTTGCCGGTATTATTATTACTATTATTTGCTATTGCTATTATAATATCTCGTCTTTAATAGTACAAATTATTTGTTTTATTCGTTATGAATTTGAATGTTCGAATTGCATTGAAAGTTTTATTCGAACAAACGAATAAAATGAATAATTCGAATTTAACAAATAATTCGAATAGAACGAATTATAATAAAACGAATAATAATAATTCGAATTAAAACAAGAATTTGTATTACGAATAGAAATTCTATGACTTTTATCCTGCTATGATGTATTGTACTTTGCTTTTTGAGTAAATGTGTGATTTTTTTGACATTCTAAGTAATGTAGGTGAACACATCTCAACTAAATGTCTATGCCATTGAATTTTACACTAAAATTCCAGACGTAAAAAATGTATGTCAAGAGAAATTTTTTAACCGGCTAACATCACTATTTATTCAATCAAACTTTACAAATAACTAATATGACTCTGTATTTATATATTTTTATTATAAAATCACAGGTCTAGTTACTATATTCTTTTTAAACTTTATTTTGACCTACGTTTTTTTATATAGGATTAAAATATTGCGAAAGATTTTGGTATGTTATTATTATTATTATTAGATCAAAACGTAGTTTAGTGTAACAAATATTGATTAATTATCACAATTTATTTCATCTAAATACAATATCTTACAATCTTTTGCTATTATAAAGTTCCTTATAGCATCCCTTATTATTGTTGCTGATAAAAAATTTCTTTGTTAGAAAAATATTTCTGATACTGCATCTATAATTGCTTTAAAATATAAAAATTATTCTACACACCATTATATTCTAATAATTTAATTTAAAACCGGATCTTTCATTTATCTAAAGATTCTTTTCCAGATTTAATTGGAATTGGAAAAATCAAAAAATTTTTAAATTAACTCCAAAATTTCATTGCCTAATAAATGCAAAATATTATATTTTGTTATCAAAATCATAAATTCTTTGTATTATTCACTTGGAAAAGTTGATCAATTTTCTTCTTCCACATTCTCATTAATGTAGATGCCAGGAAAATTATCAAGAAAATCATAAGAATATTTTGGTGTGCTATCAAATTTTTTGTTAAAAGTATTGTCAACAGATACATCATTAGTTGTGAATTCAGCAGATACATTGTTGAAAGTCCATCAATACTATCTTTTGTAATGTTAAGATCTGTTTGTGTTTTTTCTTCACCATTGATTCGTTCAAATCAACCAAATTAATATTATTGCTATCATAATGTAATTGCAATTTATATGTTTTTCTGTGCTTGTTATATAGAAAGTTTTTGGGACAGGGATTACAGGAATACTCTTTTATTTTTATTTTTTTAACTTTTTTCTTTTGCTAAAAATATTACGACCAGAAAAAAGAAAATAATACCCTTTGAGAAGTTCATCAATAAAAAATTCAAAAGTGTGCTGAATTAATTTACTAAGTTAACACTAATCATAATATCACTACTAAGCCTATTACATCAGTTCAAGAAATTATAAATAAAATTAGTCAATCTAATAGTAATAAGAAAAACAATGTGTGCCTAATGCCAGTAGTCCCTTTACACTCATTAATGTATATGATGGTATTGAACTTGGAGAAGTTGTAATTCACACTGAAAATAATAATATTAACAATAGTGGTTGTATTTGATTATAAGCATTTCGATCTATCTAAAGAAAGCTAATGTTAGTAACATGATAAAATGGTAAATTTTTGAAAGGTTATGGATACCAGTTCATATTCTGTTTGAAGTTTTTCATATTTCTGGACAAAATTGGTAATTGACTTGAAAATAATCTCACTGCAAGCTGGTTTGCGTGTTCCCTTTCTAAAATATATAGAAAAAATTAAATTAATGATTTAAAACAATGGAAAGAATGATAGTAGTCACATATAATAATAACAATTCTTTCTGATCGTACACCACCAGATCTGAAAAAAGTAATTAATAATAATATGGTTGCGTAATAATTCTTTCTGATTCCGTTTAATCATTAACCATTAGAAAAAGAAGTCATGTAAATACCTTTTAGTTTGATTATTACATTCCTAAATAAATAATTAATAATAATATAAAATAGATACAAAAGTAAATATTGAAAAAAAAATATTACTATTGCTGTCTTTGTGAATCTCTCTAAAACCAATTAACCAACACCAGACGAGACCTATAAAGCTTGGAAAGCAAGTTTTGTAACTATACTTGGTAATTGTTTTATCTAGTTGTATAATAGACGGGTTTGATTGTGATTCTTATTTGAAAATGCCATATAAATATTTAAAATTCAAAAAAAAAGCAATAGTTTGCTAAGTATTTGATCGAATTGAGTGATCTTAGATTCAAAAGAAACACCGAATTTTATTGCACATCATATCCAAAACTTTTTTATAGTTAATATATTAATATGTGGTAATGTTATTTAATATTGATTTTAAATCACAATTAGTTGTCGCATTTTAATAATTTCTCTTCTACTTTTTTAATAATTGCTATATTATTGTTGCTTGTCCATATTATCTAATTATTTTTAAACGTTATTATTTATGTAGGAATAAATATATGACTATAAAAAGACACACCAGGTGAACAAAACCGCATAAATATTCATAACAATATAACCATTTACATTTATTTTCTACTTATACTTGCAATTGGACACGTACCAAACAAAATTTTACATATATGAATATAAAGGCAAAATTTGACTTTGAGGGTCAGATTATTTTCGATCTTATTAATAACCTGTTTTAAAAATTTTCCTAAAGCAGATACATATGATAAAGAAGTTATATATCAAATTTGGTGATGGTTTCTACACAGAAAGGATATCAAAAGAGGGTGTGAAGACATTCGATTATAATAATAATAATAAAATTTTACTATGTTTTACAACTTTCTATGCGACTAGTTAATTAATTATTATCATAATAAGGGCTCCAGATACTACATAAATAGGTTACTTTTTTTTGGGGTAAATCAACATGTAAAATTTTGAAAGGTTGGATGATCTCACTATTAAAAGTATGGATCTGTGTGCTGTTGATGAGTTAGTCTATCTATGTTAGGGATCCTCGCAATTGGCCAATAAGATTTTGGAGTAAATTTTGAAAAAAGTCCTTTATAGTATTTTCTGTATTAGTATTAGTATTAGTATTAGCATTAGTATTAGTATTAGTATTATTATGACTAAAACATACTAATACTAATAACAAATAAAATGTTTTGTAAAAAAAATGTCCATTTTTATTTGCAAGTTTAATAATATTCCAGAACTATAAAATCCTATTCTCACATTCCATTTTAATTACACATTCACAAATGTCCCTATATTAATATAAATGATATCATGGAAAAAATCCGGATTGCTTACTCAACTGGTTGCTGTTTTATGAAATAAACTGGACATGTACAGAGCGATAAACATAATCACGGAGATATAATGGAAATATTCTGGAGTGTCATTTTTTACAGGTTGAATAAATTTTTTAATTCGAATAAATTCTCAATTCGAATAAATTTTTAATTAGATTATTAACAGTTAATATTAATATTAATAGAGATGAATTCGTGTTACAAATAGAAACCCTATATCCCTATTACTGTAGCGACTTTTTTTTCCTTTTTTTAGATTTAAATTTAATTCACTATTATCGTGTTGCGGTCACATTCACTACTTTTTAAAGTACTTTTGAATCATAGTGTTGGCGGTAATATTCAATAGTTTTCCGGTCCAGTCATAATAGAAGTTTTTTCAATGACTAATTAATCTGTTGATCTTGTCATTTTGCCAATTAAAAGTGTAGTACAATTCATAACAGTTAAATTTAAAATTTGAAGACCGTGCAATTCGTCCACTCGCTCATTTCTTCATATGCACTGACTGATTATTATTTCATAATAATCGTAGAATAATAATAAACAAACGTTTTTTATTGTTGTATTATTGTTATTGTAAAACATATTATTACGAAATAAATATTTTTGGTTTGATTTTGATTACATAATCATCATCATTTATTTTATCTCATTGCATTATTGGTTTGTTTTTTTTAGCTCTGCATTTATCAATCATAATATGAAAGTACGAAAGGAAAATTACAAATTCAAATAATAATAATAATGTAAATATTTACTTATTTATGCAAAAGGTTTTATGATAGATAAGGACTTTTGACGATCAAAACGTGGTAAAAAAATCTTAGAACTTTTAGATATATCCACAAACTCATAAAATCAAGGCCACAGTCCTACCCTACCAAAATATGTTGTGGATGCGAATTTTTTGATATTTTGCAACAAATTATATTGCTAGATTAATATTTTCTTTTGCGAATGTTTCTTTTTTTTGTTGTTTTTATTACCATTTTGATAACTATTAAAATACGTATATTAACACTTTTTTTCTTAAAAATCCTTTTTCAATATTGGGGGTTTTTTCTTTTGTCGAATAATTAATTTGATTAATAGTAATAGAGCAAGTTATAAAAACTCGATAAAAATTTTTAATATTTAATAATAATAATAAAAACATTTTTCAATAATTAACACATATGAATACCAATATATTCTCATATATTATTAATGAGGTACAACTTGACAATGAGATTCGCCTTCTTCCTAATCCTCCTTGTAAACTATATTCACAAATTACAGGGTTCATTTCGCCTGATCTTAATAATATCAATCATTTAGGCATCCCCAAACCTCAAAACGCTTTTATCCTATATCGTAAAAATTATGCTGCAAAACATAAATCTTCTGGTAGCCATAAAGATTGGAAGGTTCTTTCACAAAATAGGCCAGCATTTCCTGGAAAAATGCATCAGACGAAGTAAAAAGTTACTTTAAAAGATTATCAAAACTTGGCTCGTGAAAAACATAAATTGATTTATGGTAAAAAAGACAGCACTACTGGTAACCAATTACCAAAAGGATATACTTTTATTGATCAACAACCAGTACTGCTACAAAAAATAGAAGTTGATAATAATAACAACAATTGTAAGTTTTCAACGCCACCTTATCCGTAACATTCTTCTTCTTGTTGCAAAGATTATAATCCAAATTCATCATCTTTCGCTTCTTTTCTTCCATGTTCTATTTCATCCGATAATATTCTTCCTATTAATTATGACAACAACATCATCAATAAGACTAATGCTCTATTCCAATCCACCCAATTCAACAATTTAAATGATAAAAATCCTCTAGAAGGTTTTCAACAATACATACAAACTGAACAAACAGATGTACAATTATATAGAGATTGTTTAGATTTATTGGATTTTGTCACAAGATATATTTGAAAATATGAAAGAAATGCAAAATAGCAATAGCGAATAAGCAATATTTTTTAATTCCAACATTATAATAATATATAATGGCATTTTTTAAAAACTAAGTTTTATGAATACCAAATTAGGTTCTAATTTTGCATTGAATTTAAAACCCTATGTTAGGTTAATTGATTTTACCATAAAATAAATAAAATTTATCTTTATTAATTTAATGTCCTTTATATTTTTAATTCTTGTAATGTTAATGATGTTTGTGAAGATATTAAGATATTCATTGTGTTCCAAACAGTCAAAATAGGATTTTTTTAAATATCAATTATTAGAAATTTGTTGAATTTAAATTTTGCTACAAGGGGAAAAAATACACACATATATGTATATAATATCTCACTAATATTTTGAAAAAATTCCAATTCTTTTTCACAAGCAATTTATCGATTGCCATTACCCTCTTATTTTATCTTTTTAGGTCTGTAAGCGTGATTTTTGTGAACTGACAATAGATTGGTTGGACAACAAATATAATAGTCATAATGGTCATAATAAATTTAATTCAAAAAAAAAAAGTCGAATTTTCCACTTCATTGTAGTAGTACAGTACATGCAATATCATATTAATATATAAATTTTTATTAAGAAGGATTTTTCGTCGATCTTTTTTTTAATAGTAAACTTTGAACGAAAATAACTCTTTAAAGAACAAAGATACACATTCCAAATTAAGTTTAAAATATTAGAAGGGTAGGGAAATTGCCCCTATAGAGAGTTTTTTTAATTTTAATATAAATTATATCACTTATTTTAAGCTAAAAGAAAAAAGGAAAGTTATGTATATATGATACAAAATTTTATGCAAATAAAATTGTAAAAAGCTCTCTCTGTACGCTTAAAGAGCATCAAAATACAGATCCGAACCATGACATATAGTTTAAAAGTTATTTCGATTTTTGTTTAGTGTTATATCTAAATTTATAATTTCTAAATAGTACAGCCGTTAAAAATATTATTACTTAGCTGAAATTCGTATTGAGAGGAAAGTAATAATAATAATAATAATAGTAAAGAAAGTGCTGAATTTGTGGCAGCGAAAAATGTCTTAATTTTTTTTTTTGTGGTAAAAATAATAATAAACCTAAAAAAATCCTTATTAATGATGAAAAATTTATATATGTAATCGACTATGTTTGTAAATCATATGATGCGTGCCAATGCATACAGATAATATAATAAATTCCAAATTCTTTAAATAATAAAGTATTGATTGATTAATTATTCATTAAATGGTTTAATATAATATATATACCCTGATTAGTATTTCACAATAATGATAATATTCACACAGAGATTAACAAATCTTTTTTCTTTCTTTCTATTTGCACACGGAGCTTTACGAATAAATATTGATTTTTTAACAGCATGAATCAATCGTTTGTAATTGTTGTTATTGTTTATGGACGAATAGAATAATAAAATTGGAAAAAGAATATTCCACGTTTAATGAATGATAATATTAAAAGACATAAATAGATTATAAATAGATTATACGACTGTGTTGATTTTAAATCTAAATTTTACTTTTTTTAGTTTAATTTGATATCTATTTGTCGTCACCTTTCGTTTATCTTATCACTATTATAGTCATTGAACAATTCGAAATAACAAATAATGGTGGTATATTATTGTTATTGTTATTGTTATTGTTATTGTCACTATCATCATCATTACCTTTGTTGTAAAATGAGTAAAATAGCAGAAAACTTGCTTTTTCATTAAATACTTCTATTTTTAGCATTAATGACGAGTTAGTGTAATAACGTCAAAGGGAAAATTTCAATATTAGCATAGTAAATTTTAGTGTAACAGGTTTTTTACTTTTTTAGAAAATTTAAATTGGGGTAGATACAAACTTTTTAAATTTGTTTTACTTTTTTAGAAAATTTAAATTGGGTACATACAAACTTTTTAAATTTGTTTTACTTTGACAGTTTTTACGACCAACACTACTAGTATAGATTGTAAGGTAAGTACTGCGCTGTATTTTTGAAATTTCGAATTTTCGGTATAGAAAGCGCAGCCAACTAATAATACTCATTGAGCATTAATCAATATGTCCTAAACTCTATATTTCAAGTCACCGCTATTATTTATTATGAATTTGGTTTTTTTAATTTTGTCTATAATACATACATTTTTTCCTTTTAACATTTATTCTTTCTATATTCACGTCGATATTATTTTGACCCAAAACAGTAAATTACCATTCATTGGAATAATATATAACAATTGCGAATTAGTGTTATCTTGTTATACCGCATAAAATTGTGATCAAGTAAATAATGACAAGACAAATTTATGGATAATTAGAAAAAAAAAACAACAATTTATTAATCGCAATAGGGTTTGTATAACACGTTCACCAATCACTTGGAATCGATATAATTTTTTTTTTATCCTTATCAATCATTGTCATAAGTAATATTGTACACAACAAGTTTTTTATTGCTGTTTATTATTTAATTTGATTTCAGTAATTTGCTATTCAATGACTAATACGACATTTACCTTATTTCTGTTGTAAATCAATAAAACGAATCAGTAGAATGGTAGAAAAAAAAAATTACGAAACCGAAAACTCGTGTTTTCACTCCAATTCCTCAATGGGAAATCATTACACATTTCTAAATAAATCAACCAACCATCATGCTCAAAAAGGCTTTATGATAATATTGTTATGACGCATAAGCGTTGTTTACTTTTTTTAGAAAACCTTTATTCAAATATTAAATTAAAGATAAAGTGCATTGTTACTCGTTAAAATAAATGGATCAGCATCAATGATTATGTTTTTTGTGATCGAGACCCAAAATCATCTTTTTCAAATGATGAATAATTTTCTGAACTTCTACCAATTAATTCATAATGATTATTTCTACAACATCCACCGTTTTTTATTTAGCCTTTTCTTTCTCCTGTGTCAATTATTAATTTAATGATAACAAAACATGATAGATATCTTTTTCCTGATAAATCAGTTATATAAGCGGGAATTTTTATATAAATATAAATAATTCCATCAAAAATTTTTAACAGCATCTTTTAAGCTATTATAACGAATCTTCTGTTTACCCCCAAACTTGGTTTTTTTCTTCAAAAAAAAAATTTTTTTTGCGATAATTTAAAATCATATTTTTTTTTTTTCCTTACGAAAAGTTTGTTTTTATTAACACTTAATAAAATCCTAAATATCACAAGTTTTAAATCATCAAACGAAAAATCTTTATTTAATATAATATATTTTACGCAACACACATGGATCCTGAAACAAAGTCATGTGTTGATAAAGCACGACTTAACAAAAATCAGATTCATCTTTTTTTCAATCCTCCTTGTAAAGTCTATTCACAAATCAATGAATTTATTTTACCTAATCCAAATAATGTTAATTCTATAAGTATCCCAAAATCTCCAAACTCTTTTTTCCTATACCGGAAAAATTATATTGCAAAACATAAGTCTCCTAGGAATAAAAAGGACGGGAGAATTCTTTCAAAGGAAGCCAGTGTTTCCTGGAAGAATGAACTCAAGGAAGTGAAAGTTTATTTTAAAGTATTAGCAAAAGTAGCTTTTCAAAAACATAAAATAACATATGAAAATCGAAAAAATCGTATTTTTATTCATCAACAACCGGGGCCACAACAAAAACAAATAGACAATAATAATGATTCTGCAGTTTCACCATCAACCTATCCAATTTCTTTTTCTCTTCCTTCTAGTTGTCAGCACACAAATAATAATACGGGTTCATCATATCAACAACTGGAACTGCAACAAAAACAAAAAGATAATGACGATTGTGTAGCTTATTCATCATCAACTCATCCACAACCTACTTTTTTTTGCACAAGTAATAATACAAGCTTTCCTCATCTTGTGCTTCAACAACCAGAGCCACAACAAAATCAAAAAGTTAGTTGTTATGAAAAAAATAATAACGATTGTGCAACTTTATCATTACTTAATACACATTCTACTTTTTTTTGCACAAATGATAATACAAACTTTCCTCATTTTGTGCTTCAACAACTGGAACCACAACAAAATCAAAAAGATAATTTTCATAATAACGATTGTGCATTTTCATTACCATCACCTCATCCACATTTTACTTCTTTTTGCACAAGTGATAATGCAAGCTTGTCTCATTTTATGTTTCAACAACCGGAACTACAACAAAATCAAATAGATAATTTTCCTATCAACAATTGTGCAGTTTCATTACCATCACCTCACCCACATTCTACTTTTTTTAACACAAATGATAATACAAGCTTACCTCATTTTATGCCTCAACAACTGGAAATACAACAAAATCAAATAGATAATTTTCCTATCAACAATTGTGCAGCTTCATCATCGCCTTATTACGATTTTAATGCTAATTGGAATACGATAAATGGCTACTTTCCTAATTGAATACATTTATCTTAACAAAATAATAAATAAGATATATTTTTTAAATTGATAAATGTATATGATAGCTTGTTGTAATATATAATCTTGTTATATTTTTTAAAAACTAAGTTTTATGAATACCATCTCGATTAACTAATTTTTCATTGAATTTAAGACCTTATGTTAGGTTCATAAAATAAATAAAATTTATTTATTTATTAGTATCAATGCCTTCATATTTTTAATTTTTGGTTTGATGACAATAAAGATATTTCTTGTGTTGCAAAGCTGAACTCGGCAAAATTTTCCAACCAGTCAAGATAGATTTTTTTTACGATGATATAACATCCCACTAGTATTTTGAAAAAATTTCAATTCTTTTCCGCATCTCTTATTTAAAACAATTATCCATTTTTTCCTCGTAAATTATTTATTCTTTTGGGTCTGAAAGCAGGATTTTTGAAAACTAACATTGAATGATGACGGATTTGGTTAGTGATGAGAATTACAAATACAATATGACGGGAAAACTCTGTTGCACCTGATCATACCTCGGAAGCTGATTGTGGATTTTCTGTTTAGATAATGGTTTACGAATATTAAAAAAATATTAGTATTAGCGAGTAGTCCCTACGGGTGATTTTTTCAGTTGAGTTTCCTTTTTGGATTTAAATTTAATTCACTATTAACCGAATTATAGTGTTGCGATCACCTTCGCTATTTTTTCGAATTAAAGTGTTGGCGTTGATATTCAATATAGTTTTCCCGATCCAGTCATAATTGAAGATTCTCAATGATTAATTAAATCTGTTAATCATGTCAACTTTTTTCGACCAATATGCTAATTAAAGTGTAGTGTATATATGTACATGTGTGTGTGTATTTATGAAACGTCTGCTGCTACCAAATTGCAAGTATTTATTTCTTAAAATGAAGTAAGGCACGTTCTTTTACGAACAGGTGCTTAATTGTTGTAAAATACAAGTTGTCTTTATTCTTAAAAATGATGTCCTATTTATAATAGAAATACATGATAATGATAAAAGATAAATAGCAACATTTGATAACCAATGTTTCACGGAATTTGTAAATAAATATTTTGTGAATTGTTACAAAAAGGCTGTCAAAATCAATTTACCAAATTTTGGATACAAAGTTGATTGGCTAATTTGAATTTCAAATTGACGCAGATTTCAAATTCGTGTGCAACATTCCTAAATTATAAATATACAGAAAGGTTCTATTTTAAGAATCGCAAAAGAATGTCCTATATACAGAAAGATTTTGTATAATTTGAAGATCATAAATGTACTGAGAAATTCTGGATATTTCGAAGGAAAGGGTTCTGTATATTTCATAGATCACAAATCTACAGAAGGGACCTGTCTGTATTTTTTAATTTTGTGTATTTCCTGGACAAAATTATCTGAATACCTATTTTTATTAATTATGTAGCCTAAGTTTTCATATATAATTTTATAACATATAAATCAAAATCATTTAACAATTTACTTCCAATCAGTGTTGTGACCCGAAACTCTGAGTTTAGGGAAGACTCAAAACAGAAACTAACATCACTAACACCTGAAACTAGTTTAGGTTGGTAGTTTACGCTTAGGTTTAGTTTTAGTTTTAGATTTCTGCTTAGTGCAAGTTCATTTTCTGAAACGTTTTGGGAAGCCAAAAGAGTTTCTGGTCACAACACTGCTTCCAATAAGATAATGTTCATGTAATTTCTCACTATACTTTACGCCAAATTTTTTTTTATGGGTTGTTATCTATGGAAACTTGAAAAACATTTGGCAAATGTAATGGTTGCAATAGAGAGCTCCGCGAGTACCATTTGGAATCCATTGAAAAAAACTGTTAAAAATAATCAAATTTCTTTTAATAAACATGAACAATTAAGTTCTAGAAAAACAAAATTAACTACAGTAAGGAATGATAATATTAACAGAGAATTAATCAGGGCATTTATAATATGTGATATATCTTTAATGTTATATTTTATTGAGTTACTTAGACAACTTAGGCTTGCCTATACACCATCGAATATAAAAGCAATTTCAGAAAGACTTCTTGATACAGTGGTGACTAATATTAATACCAAAATTAACCCGCAACTTGTGGTGATACAAACAAATGATATTTAGATGAGAAGAAACCGTTAATAATAAAATCAATAACAAAAAATAATTAGAAAATAGGCTAGAAAAAAGCTAAGATTAATTATAATGATTTTTTATAATAATTTTGATAGTTGGTAGAAATTATCAAAGAATTCTGATAAAATAAGCGATTTTTAGTCAAATGTGTGTTCATAGTTTGGCTTTTGGTTTAGGTTTTTAAGTTTTTGAATTTCGGTTTAGGTTTCGACTTGTAAATGTTTGAAGTACTCTCGACACACTTTCGGTTTCGGTGAACACTGCTAACTCAAATACAACTAATTCAAATAAACCTTATTTGAATAGAAATCTATTTTTTTTTTCAATTCATATATGTGCCTGCATGCTACTTCAAATCGCGCTTACATTTTTTTGAAATTTTAAAAAAGAGAGCAAACCTTTAAAATTTCATGTCAGTATGGTTGCAAGAAGATGGTTTAAAGAAGAGTTGCAAGAAGAAGAGAATAAATATATATTCAGTGGTAATTGTGTTAGAACTCGCTCATGAAAAACCAAAACCATTCGTAGAAACATTTGGTAAAGGTTCAAGGAAATAAACCCACCAGAAATTATAATATAAAAGATGAAAAAAAGATTCTGGCAACAGCTTTTTGATAAATTTAGGAAGATTACAAAATTTGCAAACAAAGATAAAAAGAAATATCAATTATTAGATAAAGCACTTGGAGAAGTCTATTTAAAATCAACAGAAATGTGATGAAAAATCATTGAAAGCAAAAACTAAAAGATATGTTATATAGTAAAAAAATTCATCAAAAAAAAATTGATACACGGTTTAGCGAATATTTTTTTCCAGGAAATTCATCCGTTAACCGAGAGATCCGCAAAAGCGAAACTCATGATTAGATCACGTGATATAAATTAAATTTAATAATAACGGACCCGGACACTTTACCGACACCCACTTTGCCGACAGGACACTTTACTAGAGATGTGCCATTCATAGTAACCCTGATTTTTTTTCACGCACTGTGCGCATAGTGCACATAATGCATATAGTGTATTAATATTATCCCTTGAACGGTTTTTCGACTATTGATAGCCGAAATTTTTTTTCTGTTATAAAAAATTTTTTCTGAAGGTATCACTTCCTAATACGAAAATGATCTTTGAGATTCAACTGTTTGATATGTGAATAAAAATTCGGTTGTTGTCCTTGTGGT